GTATCTGCGTGTTAGTGCAATATAGTTCTTTAGTATACAACACATAAAGTAATTGAAAGCCGTACAAAATGAGTGTAAACAAAAATTCATATCAATTCAAAAATACGTCAGCGCAGTGACCTCTTCACAACAAAATAAATTGGTATTTTTATTTTATGCTTCCACTGAGGCTAATTATTGCTTAGGCTAAGCTAAAAAAAGTAGTCCAATTGGATGTAAACCTTTCTTTTTATTAGCTCGCGAATGTTTTACTTAAATCTCGACTCCCACGGACTCTTCATTTGGCGCTTCAGTAACACCCAGGACCCACAAATCTCATAATTATAAATATATTGCCAGTGCCTCTCCGATCCATTATGAACTAATTCTTCATTTATGTGTGATATTTTTTTATATTTGTGGGGCTATCCATTAATTATAATCTTTAAATATTATAAAACATAGGCACTATCCGCCTCTGTCCTCAACATTTCAGTTTCTACACTCACTTGTAAAAGGAAAAACTGTAATGAAACCACTCAACGGAATTTGATACGTGATCCTTTAGGGATATGTTTTGAAAGATAAGTATATATAATACATTCTAATTAAACTTTTGTATAGTAGAGGACATTCAATGATTTGTAATCAAGTCAATCAAAATTAAAACTTAAACCAATAAACGTTTAAAAATTTTGATATAATTCATGTTTCGTTTTTATGCCATAAAATATAATATTATTAAAAACTAATGTTTTAATAATATATTTTTTATTGCTTAACGCACTTTTCGAAGCGATTAACGTAGCTTTTTTAAACATAAATGACAACACGTGTAAATTGCACCCGGGTCAGGACGCTAGTTTCTTATATTTGGCTTATAAATATTAATGTCGTCATATTCATACATATTTATATTTTGTTATTTTAATCATGCTGATAACAATCCAAGTCGTGGTACTACCTAGCGGCCTGAACTAATGAACAACGCTGGTTGTACAGTTAAAAGTTACAACCAGCATATTCTGTAGAGTTGGAATTGAATTGTATTAATATGTCTATTACAGTTTTCATATTTTCAATTATCTCAAAAAAGGTACTAAATAAATCTTCCCAAATTATATTTCCACAAAACGTACATTGAAATATTTCTACAGCATGAACTGCATATAATATTATATTACAAATATTCGTTATTGATGCAATATATGATTACAATAGCAGTGCTTTATTATTTAGATATAAATACAAAAGTTATCCAACAGTTTCGAGATGCTATGCTGTTTGCTTACCTTGTAATAGATTTATAGTTTACGATTTATAGAGGAATTATATAATTGTGCACAAAATATTTCTCGAAGATTTTATTACTTCTAAAGATTATCATATAGGTATCAATATAACATCTATCCACGCAACATTTAAAATGAAAACTTACTTGAATCTTTCAAAGGAAAATAATATTGATAAGTCTCACAGAAATATATAATACCTTGATGTATATTTATTCCTGCATTCGAATGGGAACAACAAAATACAATACTTTTCGTAAGGAAAATATTGTTTGAAATTTAAATCTTATTTATATTAATATGTGAAGGGAAACTTGTATCTGAGATTTGGCTTAGTAAAGTTTATAAGGTAAAGGAATTGAGAAATCTAAAATTAATAATATAATATGTGTTAAAACACATTTAATTAAAACAAACACGATAAAACATTACCATACTCCATGTCAAATACATAATTGCCGCTTGGACAAATTATTGTGTATTGGATGTATATTTATACTTTTAACACATATAATAATTTTTGGAATAATAATACACATTGTACTTATTTACTTTGAGGAGTAAGTATACACTTATATTATTACTCTAAGACCAATGTCAAAGCCTTAATAGTCTGTGGTCAAACAGTCGCAGACATTAGTGACGAAGAGAATATAATAACTACGTTTAAGAAGCGGAACTTCCTCTGTAAAAGTAAATGTATGAAAGGTCTCCAAGCTACCCTTGAAAGAATATTGTTTTTTTAACACTGATTGAATTCATCTGAGGGCACGGGAGTGCCCTCACCAAGTTGAGCAAAAAAGTGGCACGGCCGTACCATACTTGTCTCGAAGCAATTCAGGCCATTTTCGAGCCCCTATAACTTTGTAGTGGATAAAAATAGAAGCCTGAAACCGAGTAGGCATTGTATAAACATGGTATATTTAAAATTTCATTTAATTTGAACTAGTAGTTTATAAATTATAACTACTCAAAGTTTCTTAATTTTGTCACTCACTGACTAACCGATCATCAAAACTATAAGGCACTTCAAGCAGACATAAAAGCTTAAAATTTAGAATACTGTTACGAGCTTAGGGTTCGTGACAATGAAAATTGCCGATTGAACTACCAAAATTAACACTTTAATTACCGAACACCAATTAAAACTTAAAAAAACATTAATAATCAATCACACTAATCACTTTTAGTTCACTTTATTTCGCTCCGAAGCTTCGCTTGAATCGCCATATTCAATACTGCCCCGATCACGGCTATCAACGACTTTATATAGGGCTCTTCCACCGAAACATCCAGAATATTCCAGCAAATACGGGCCCCGACCGACCAGGCGCAGAAAGTTCGAGTGTGGAGCTTTCTAGAAAGCTTAATTCTTCTATTTGTTACTAGATGGCGCTGTTGATTGAAATTTCAGTCATGGCATTTTATGGAAAGCTCTCCTCGCTCTGTTCCCCTCGCACTAGATGGCGTTAGTGCCAGGTACCAGACATCAGCTTAGGCGCGCAACAATACAATTAGTGTTTAGTGTATTAAGCAAGGAAAAATTAAAATATTTTTTTAATTTCGGTCCAGTTTTCTAGATGCACAGATAGAATTACAGTCGAATTGAGGCCACTGCTGAATAAAGACCTTCCAGAGGAATGCCACAGCGCACGATCGTGAACCACTTGCAATCATCAATTTCTTACATCTCTTACCACTCCATCACGTGGAGGAGCATCCGATACAACGCTTACCGGTACGAAGCTATCTCTTATCTCTCTAATATCTTTCCTGTTGGTTGTCGTCCTAACGCACTGTAAGAGTGAGGGAATAGAAAGTGCACACCCGTATTTGTATATACACTTACGCAATACAATCCTGTCCTGCGTAAATGTCTGGTCGCCATTGAGACTGATGCCGTGACCAAAATTCGGTATCGAGGACATAACGAAGTTGCTACTAGAGCGCCTTTCTTCCCCATCGGTTGCCAGTTCTTCGAGCTATATGCCACATTGCCGTCACTTTAGCCTTCTGATTCGTTGAGATATGTCGGTTACTCTGGATCTTCTGCGGATAGTACCCTTATTTTGAAGTGTATCACGCAGAGAAAATCAGAGCACAGTCTTCTCCTTAGTTCGCGACGAATAACGAGAATGGGTGATGAATAACCTACTCTAAGGCCGCAATCACTCGGGTATAGAAGACTGTGGTATTTACTTACCCTTCAAAATTCAAAAATAATGTTTTCATTTCAAAAGGTATAATGCAATGTGGAGCAATTATCGACGCCTCGATAGCGTACACAGTAAAGATTTTCGTTGCGGCATTGCATTAGCACGGGTACGGATCCCACTCGGAACAAGTGTTTGTACGGCCAACAAAAAAAACTGGGTATGAATGATAAAAGAAAAACTCGTAAAAGGGTTAAGGTTTTTTATAAATATTATTTGTGTTACCGTTACCGCAACATCCTAAGAACAGTCCACTGCTGAACATTAGATTCCCACATAGATTAGGGGATCCCTCCTATTATAATAATAATAATAATAATAATAAGGCGTAGGGAAGTGACGACCCCATCGCCCGCTGACGAAACAGTTAAGTGACAAAACTGCTACGTCGGTGCAGTCAGTCAGCGCCTTGCCAAGAGGTGTGAGCGCCGTGCCTCGGCAGTACTCAGGGTGCAAAGGCCCGTTTGTGCTTACGGCCGTACAATGATACAATAAAACGGTGCCGGGCCTGGGCGTCTCCCGCTAATTGGCGCCTAAAAATGGATGATGGATAAGATTGGACAACGTATAGGGCCGCTGCCTGGGGGTCGCCGGGGCGCGTCTGGAGCTGGCGCTGGACGCGGCAGCATGCGGGCCGCCAGCCGAGCGCGAGGAGCTGCAAGATCACCTAACAGCCCCCCGCATCCATCATCCCCACCAGACGGCTTGATGTCGGCAGGGTCCTCTCGGACTCGGCAAGCGGCATCCGCCGCTGGTGGAGTGCGCCGCATGCGTTGGACAAGGGATATGAACGCAAACGCAATGCGGACGTACTATAGGGCGAAAGGGGAAGAAACTGCGGGGATAGCGTATCGGGCTCGGATGCATTGCTTTTTTGCTGAGCTGGAGCCGTCTATTCCCGTCACGGAACAAAACCTGGCAGACCGAGTTCGGTACATCATGCGCTCGAAAATATTCGATGATGCCGAGCTCGAACGACTACGACGTGAGGCCATTCCCTCATCGAATGAATTGGCTACGGCTGGGGATGAGGCTCCTCAGGCGACAGACCAGCTGCCACGAGTAGAAGCCGCCATGGATCTTCCAGTTGTGGGTGATTCAGACGATGATGAAATGGTCTCCCACGAACTAGAGCAAATGAGGAGTATATTGGAAGAGGCGATTTTAGAAACGCGCAGCATGCCTCTCGAAAATCGACCGCGACTTCCCCCGCATACCCCTAAGCAAGCGAAATCGGGCTGTCGTGAGGGCTCTTAACCCAATGCTGGTAACCTATTTGGAAGCTAGCCGGGACCTTTGCGAGACGGACTCAGTTCTTTTTGGCGCCGCAGTGGCAGCTTGCCGTATTATTGGCGCCAAACTTCCCATGGCTGGACGCGCTACTAAACAAAGTAGCGCCATCCCAGCCTGGAGAAAAAGAATTGAGGACCGTATCGCAAAGGCAAGGGCCCTTATCGGCAGACTGATAAGCTTCAGGTCGGGTAATAATAGACCGAGGGTTGTGCGCACCGTTAGAATGGCGTTTGCTGTGACAAATATCAGTTTGTCCCAGCCGGATATCACGCAGAAACTAACGGAGCGCATAGACGACCTGAAGCAAAAGATTGCCGCTTGGGGGAAGCGGATTCGCCGATTTACCGAGAGGTCAAGGCGGTTCAACCAGAATCGTCTCTTCCAGAGTGATCAGAAGAGGCTCTACAAATCATTGGAGCGACCAGAGGTATGTGGAGCGGGCCCAGGACCGGATCAGGCTAACACTGTCGCATTTTGGCGTGGCCTGTGGTCAGAGCCCGTAAACCACAGCGAGGGCCCTTGGACGGAAGTTGTGGCGAGTCAGTGTGCGAGTATTACGCCCATGGACCCCGTCATCATAACGCCGGATGACGTAGCTGAGGCGGTCCGTAGAGCCCCGAACTGGAAAAGTCCGGGACTCGACGGACTGCATCACTACTGGCTGAAGGGGTTCATGGTGTGTCACGCTGTGCTCGCCCGTCAGTTTCAAGAGGCTCTCAACCAGAAGTCGCTCCCTAGCCTCTTCACTACTGGGATCACTCATTTTGTTCCTAAAGACCAGGTTACCACAGACCCGAGCAAATACCGCCCCATTACGTGTCTACCCACCATATATAAGACACTGACATCCATTTTGAGCGCGAGAATCACTCGTCACCTGGAGCTAAATCAGGTGATGTCACGCGCTCAAAATGGATGTCGGGGCGGTGGTCGTGGAACTAAGGAACCACTCCTCATTGACGCGGTCATTGGCAAAGTGGTGAAACGCAACCGTCGGAACTTCTCCGCCGCCTGGATAGACTACAGAAAGGCATTCGACTCGGTGCCCCATACATGGCTAAAGAGAGTCCTCGAGCTGTACAAGATAGACTGTACAGTGAGAGACTTCCTCGAGCAGTGTATGGGGCAGTGGAGTACGATCCTTTGTCATCTGGGTGAGCGGATGATGGCTGCGGAGAACCACATAAGGATAAGAAGGGGTATCTTCCAGGGCGATTGTCTGAGTCCAATCTGGTTCTGCCTCTCCCTAAACCCTCTCAGTACCTTACTGGAGGGATCCGGGAGAGGATTTCAGCTACGGAAAGGAGGGACAAAAGTGACCCACCTTTTTCTATATGGATGACCTTAAGTTATTCGCCTCCAGTCGCTCCCATCTTGTGGAATTGCTAAAAATCACTTGTGAGTTTAGCAGTTCCATTGGAATGGAGCTGGGGACGGATAAGTGTGCGGTCCTCCATGTTGAGAGGGGAAGGGTTGCTAACTCTGAGGGCATAGATTTATCTATGCCCGTCAACCTAAGGACCCTTTCCGAGGCTGAAACATACCGATACCTGGGTATGTCACAGAACATCGGTATCGATGAGGCTGGTGTGAAACAGTCAGTTTGCGACGTGTTTTATGCACGCTTGACCAAAGTGCTTAATAGCCTTTTGTCCGGTGTGAATAAGACACACGCATATAACGGTTGGGTCATGCCTGTCCTTATGTATACCTTTGGCATACTCAGGTGGACTCAGACTGAACTTAACGCCCTGGATAGAAAAGTCCGCACTACCATGACGTCCCATAGGATGCATCATCCGAGATCGTCGGTAATGAGGCTGTACTTGCCGCGAAAGCATGGTGGGCGTGGCTTTCTAAGCGCGCTCACTATGCATAATCGTGAAGTGTGCAGCCTCCGTCATTACTTCCTGGCGAGATCGGATGATCCATTCTATAATGACGTCATTTCTAGTGATAAAGGGCTTACCCCTCTATCCTTGGCCAACGAGCAATGGCAGGACCCAGCAGTGCTTAGCATTTCCGACCGGGAGACCGTATGGAAGGAGAAGGAGCTCCACGGGAGGTACTACAGGGTTCTACATGAGCCCTTCGTAGATACAGTCGCCTCCCTCAACTGGCTACGTTTCGGTGACCTCTTCGGGGAAACCGAGGGTTTTGTCTGTGCAATACAGGATCAGGTTATTAAGACCAACAACTATCGGAGATACATCCTAAAGGATGGCACCGTCGACGTCTGTCGAGCTTGTCGCCATCCCGGGGAGTCACTTAGACATGTTATCTCCGGTTGTTCGGCGCTTTCTAACTCTGAGTACTTGCACAGGCACAACCTAGTAGCCAGAATTCTACACCAGGCGCTCGCTCTGAAATACGGTCTCGTGGACCGGAAATTGCCGTATTACAAGTACTTGCCGGAAGCCGTGCTCGAAAATGACCGCGCCAGGCTCTACTGGGACCGGGCCATCATCACAGACAGGACTATTCTTGCAAATAAGCCTGATATTGTGCTGATGGACCGGGCACAGTCAAGGATATTTTTGGTCGACATTACCATTCCGTATGACGAGAACCTCGTGAAAGCCGAAACAGATAAGCAAACAAAATATCTGGACCTGGCTCACGAGGTGACCGACATGTGGGGTGGTCTGCCGACCGAAATTATTCCTGTAGTCGTCTCTGCAAACGGGCTAATCCCAGTCAGCCTCTCGGGTCATCTGAGGCGACTGGGACTCCGTGACGGACCGCTCCGGGCTCAAATGCAGAAGGCAGTGGTCCTCGATACCGCCCGCATCGTCCGTCGGTTTCTTTCCCTTTCCCCCTAACCCTCGGCCGTTTGGTCTCCCCTGCCGAGGGCTTCCATCTGGTTGGATCTTTATTTATTTGTGTATTTTTTGTATTTATTTTATTTTATTGATATTTATGTATATTTATCTTTTCATTTTAATTTATAATTATATATTTATAGAAACCAACCAGATGAGAAAACTATATAGATACTCCAAATAATAATAATAATAATAAATTTATTTCAGACCCACATATAGTCCATAATATGTTAGTAAATTAGCTTAACCTATGTTAGTCTTAAATTATTACACGTACAATTTTCATAACAATTATTTTTTTATTTTTGGCACCCCATGACACCAGGCACATGCAAGTGCATACGCATCCAGTGCCCTGGGATGGGACAATCAAATCTATCAGATATTGCCCTCAGAATGCTATTAGAGCTCCCACGAACCCTGCGCATGAGGGATGCTATTCTCTTTCGAATTATGGCATGAAAACCGTCCGTACCGTACGCTGTAAACATCCCTGCAGCGCTACAATATCACGGAAACCCCATCAGCATCCTTAAGGTATTATCATATTGTACTCGAAGGGCATTGTAGGCTCTCTGCGTGTACTTAACCCATAGACTGCACGTGTAAAATGACTGGCAAAAGGCTTTGAAAAGTGTTACCTTAACTTCTTCTGTACAGCGTGCAAAGCTACGGGACAGCATGTTACAGCGAACTGCCAATGCCCTTCTTTCTCTTTCTATGTCCGCATCATCAGTCAGATCCTCAGTTAAAACGTGACCAAGATACCTAAATTTATACACTCTATTTAACTGTACGTTCCTTAATCTAACAGGTGGAATCGTTTCAATTTTTGATCCAGCTCGAAATAACAACACTTCACTTTTTTTACATTATAAATGAGACCATGAGTCTCAGCATAAGTATCACAAATATTAAGTAATGTCCTCAGTGCGTTAATCGGTGGCCTCAGCAACACCATGTCGTCAGCATAGCTTATGCTGTTAACGAAATGCCCATCTATTGAGCAGCCGACACCAGCGTTGCTGAGCTCAACGATTAACTGGTTAATGTACAAGTTGAAGAGCGCTGGTGAAGTTAGGCCACCCTGCCTCACCCCGCACTCTAACCTGTACTCGTTGGACAGTGCCTCTGTCCATCTGACCTGATTTATTTGATGGCCATACCAGTATTTAAATATTTCAATCAACTCGCTTGGTAAGGCCACTTCACGCAGCTTCTTCCACAGAATATCATAATTAACTAGGTCAAATGCCTTTGACAGATCCAGGAAGGCAGCGTAAATTGGTGTTTTCCTATTGGTATAGTACCTAACAGTATGCTTGAGTGTTAACATTGCACTCTCAGTGGAGAGACTCTTTTTAAATCCGAATTGAGCATCATGTAATTTTAGATATCCATTGAGATGCCGCTCAAGCAGACTGTCAAGCACCTTAGCCATGATAGTAGCTAATGAGATGGGCCTATAGTTCTCTTTGTCAGATATATCTCCAGTTTTATTTTTTACTATAGGCACAACAATAGTTCTCATCAGCTGCTCAGGAAGATAGGAATGTCTCATGTAAAGGGTGTAGAAGGTAGCTAGAAGCCTGGAGAGATGAGGCCCTGCATGCAGAAGATGCTCAATGCTGAGGCATCATGCCCTGGCGATTTACCCCTCATCATATTTTTATTTACGTCGAAAACCTCATTCGGCGTAAAACTAATTGGCACGCCCGCGCCCGTCTGGCCGTCCTCAACATCTGACACTATCCGCGACGAAATGTTTGGTGATATTACTTTAAAATGCTCTTGAAATAAATTTGCTATCTCTCCTGGCTCATTCACCCCCTCAATACTCTCCGGGATACTCGGCTTAGGATTCACCTTTTTTGTTTGTTTTCAAAAAATTTTAAAGTCTTTGTTTTAATGCTTTTCAACTAACATGTCCATTTTAATTTGATATTCATTATGCCCCTCTATTTGCCCAATTATTATTGTATATCATATCCAAATTAATAGTACCGTTTGTGTTCTCATTTTATTTATTCAAATCATTTGATCGGCAAGTGGATACTGTGACACAAAAACACGTAAATCTACTTTTAATTAAGCATCAGTATTCACATGCGTTGTCTCCCCTGAGGATTAAGATGGAATATTTCGTTACCATTAAACAATTTACGTGCTAGCTATGTACTCGTATTATGCTAGAACGTATTAATCTACTATAATCCTTAAATTAGATTTTTGGAATACGCTTTTGATGTGCTATTTATTTTTATCACGGTGGTCATAGCTACTTCGCCGTGAGTAGGTATCAGTGAAAACTAGGAGGGTCAAGCGTAGGTCCACTCTACGAAGGGCTTTATTTTTTTTTCTTCTCTCTTCTTATACTTATATATACTTAACGTTTTTTTAATACTAACAGATCAAGATAATGAAAACGTCCTTTGCCGTAGTTATTAATTGTATTTACATTATAATTCTATCTTTTTCACTCAAGAGCTCACAATAATGACTGTCGTGATCGCCACCAATGGCAGGGTTAAATTAGATTGAAATAGGTACCAGGTATCTTTTACCATTAATGTTCCTTCCCCGTCTTTGGCTTGAGTATTAATAAGAGATAATGTCTTATAAGGCAATGTCATATTTTCTTACGGCTATTTTACGTGGTAGAGTCACGCTGCAGCTATTTATTATGTATTTATTACAAAAACAGTAACACCATAATAACAGTACAATACCAAGACAATGCTATACAAAAACAAACAAAAATTGATAAGATCTTATATAGCGAACTACTACATAATGAAATAATACTAGTTTTTACGGAATTTATCGCGTGTATTTAACTTTTTTTTATTACCTGTGAACACGTACAGGATCGCCCCCGTCACTACATCAGATTTGGTAGACCGCAGATCCTCGCTAAAGAACACCGATTCCTTCCAAGGATGATTCGCGAGGCTATTGAAATCAAAAAACATCCTAATTTCAATAGAGAAGATGGCTGGGTGCTACCATCTGCTTGGGATCCTATAATAAATAAAATTAAATCCCAACCCAAGCATACAACTGCAAGACTTCAAGATACCATAAGTTCATACTGCATAGATCGGAACAAAAGTTAAATTTTAATCTATGGTAACCGCGGTTAACTATGACATATGGACGTTGAACATCTCAGTCCTGCCCGTGACCATGAGTGCTGTAAAGCGTTCGAAACGTCGGGTAATTAAAAAGTTAAATACACGCGATAAATTCCGTAAAAACTAGTATTAAAAATTAATAACTATAACTACTGACATAAAAATATATACTGCTATAATTAAGAAAAATAATTATTGAAAATAAATCTCACAGACCCTGTGCGCCGCTTCTGTGAACTTTGCCAGGCTGCAGTGGTCAATATCTGTTTCTTCGGAATTAACATTCAATAATTTTATAGCACGTGACATAAGCGCAAACCTGAGCAGATTTGTCCTCACATACGGCACCTTAAACGTGGGATGTGGGCGGCGCCTCGCCACCGCCTTATCAGGCACAAACAGCTGCAACGCCTCCAGTACCTAAGGATGGTGTAGCTGGCCATGCCGGACTCGCCACACATACTTGCAGAACGCGACGTCGCGCCTCACACCAAGCTGGTTGTACCCGACCATGCCGATCACGGACAAGCTCGGGTACATCAGCGGGTAGAAAGGATAGACACCGTACTCCTTTAAATAAAGAAACCGCGTGAATTTATTTGGATTTTTTTTACCATGTTGATATATTTATATCGACGGTGAAAAAAATTCACTTCGTGGGGATTACAAATTTTCAAGTGTCCCAATATAGTTGTAGCACGAATGGGTCGACTCGACCGGGGCAGAACCACGTTCTCATAGAATACCAGCGTAAATAATTTTGTATGGTGAGTGTAGAGAAACGGGTATCCTTTTTACTGGAATCGAATCGGCGTTCCATTTTAGTCCTCGGGGGTCACAATGCATTTGCATTTTGATTTTTTATTGAGGATAAATGTGGATGTCTATAGGTCATAGGCATCTACTAACCATCAGGTGGAATGTGTGCTCGTTTGTCAGCCAATGTTATAAAAAAAATGGTACAAAAATCAACGACTTGCAAAATTTTGCAATAAACACGTTTTTAAATATCTGTGAGTTGGGTAAATAAAAGTTTTATGTAGGGACACATCCTAGCTATGTACCGTCGTAGGGTTAACCAGGCATCTAGGCTAACTTCGAAGCCAGTCACGTAGGCATTTATTGATGATAGGAAATTAGCCTCAGACGAGTTCCACTATGTTGACAACTTTTCTATATCAGTAATAAAAGCTCAGAGTTAGTTACATACATTACGTATAATAAAATATTAAAATGGTACGTTAATAATTGTTGTAAACAAGTAATTATTGAAAGAAACAAAGGATTCGACCGTAGTCATCTTTATTAAGTAATAAAATGTAACGATCGACAAAGCAAGCTCCATTTTATTGTTTTTCGAGTGTCCTATTTGTACTTGTACGACAAACATGACGACATCTCGCCCTTCAAAATCTATCAAGTCGTTTGCCGTGCCGGTGGTCACAAAAGAGAATACACAGATGCATTATTTCTTATGCTTACACGAATACTACGTGGAAGCAAAGCAATTTTACGGATTTGATCAGATTTTAGTTTTAATTTCCATGGAGGCACTTTACAATGTCCATGGAGAGGGAGTGGGGGATCTCACGTGTTTGAGATCTCGATCTTTTAGTTAGTCCGGGCTACCTTCAGCTTTTGAATACTAATTTTGACCCCATCAATGCTGAACGAGCTTACAATGTATTGAAATCTTGCAGTATGCTTGAGTTAGGATTTAATTTTGTTAAATTTGGGATCCTCAATCCCCCGTGACTATAGGTGCTGTACAGTACCTGAAATGTCAGAAATTAAAAAGGTTGATAAAATTTGTAAGCTTAGTTTTATTTCTATACACACACGTATACGATTTTTATAATATTAAAAGTAATAATCAAATATATAATCCATTCCTGAAAATTTGATACCAATCTTCAGCGAATAAGACTACAAATGCGGTTTCATGTCTATAATCATATGATCTGTCTTAACCTTCAAACTGGAACAGAATGGTGCACTGCTCCTTGGTGGAAAAAATAGGTTAAGCACGACGTGTGGCGCAGATACTGACTCTAGACAGAAAAGGAGCCGATCCTCTCAAGTGTTGAATACATGCGTAATTAAAAATATAATCAATCAAGACGTTGCATATCTTCGTATCTTATATCGTAATTATTACGGGAAATGCTCAAAGAATTTGTTCGGATTCCAGTTGCTATATTCCATTTTCATAAACCACGAGAGAACTCATAGGCTCATGGACAGGAGGCTCAGGAATTAATGGATATCGCTTATTATCACGTGAGCTGTATGCTCGCTTGCCTCCTCTTCTATAAAATTCCCCTTTTGTAATGGTCAAAGAAAGTCAAATAAAACACTAATACACTCAGAAATCAATCATAATTGATAAATGTAAAATTTATCCAACACCATCCAAAGATAGACACAGACACTTTGACACTGAACTCTACCTCCGATGGTGACAACCACTAAATTACCTAGGTCCAGACAGTTAAACTTTGTGCAAATATTGATTCCGAGCGCTAGTAATATTTATAATAGTTCGATGATTCCGAGTAGGATTTGAATTTTTCTCGCTTTAGTTCGAAGCACCTAGTACTCTCTATCGGGTTACGAAGCCATGCGTTTTTTTTTTAAATCTAATTTCAAACAATTCATTATTATGTTAATAGATTTTTACCTGAGCGCTAATAAGAACTTATCTAACAATGTTTTTAAATATTTTGAATAGTTTATATCGCCTGCTTATTTTTACATGCAACGCAGGCAGACCGTCTGATATCAGAACGTTTATCAGGCAGTGTTGGCTAGTCGCCGCCATGGGACGTACGCCCTTGCGGTTCTTCGCGCGCACACTCTTAAATACTCGCGAACGCAAATAACAACTTTTCGAAGTACGTAAGGTAAGTCTATAAAATCGTGTAACATTACATAACAACATTACAATTAAAATTAAAAAGTAACATTAAAATTTTCATACGTAAAAATCAAAATAAAATACACGAGTATTTTATTTTGACTTTAACATATAAAAATTTCTTAAAGATGAGTAAAAATATTATTAAAAATAAATTTCGTTACTTAATTAATAATAAATACTAAAATATTATTTATTGAAAATTAATATTTAAAGATGGAAAACCTAATTGCAAAATTGCTTGATTTTATAATTAATTTTTTAATTTTTATAAATTTTATATTTTTTTATTTGGCAAATTAAAATTGAAAAGAATTCTAAAGCTATCTTTAACAAAAATATAAAGTTATAGTGTATATACATCCCACTGCTGGGCACAGACCTCTAATTTTCGAGAGAGTTATGGAGTAATTAGTCAGCCACCCTGCTCCGTTGCGTTTTAATTACCTTAATTAATTAGACTATTAAATTAATTGATAAAATAAATTAGAAATCTATAAACTTTTGGCCATTATTCTCAGACTTCTAATTCTTTTATATAGCCTTCTTCAGTATTTTAGTGATGCAGAAAGTTTTAGAGATCCTGTTTAATTGTTTTCAGGCTCGTTTATTCCAACATTATTTCACGAAGAAGAGCTCTTCATTTAGTAATGAACTTACTATGAGAAACAACATTTTTAATTTTCCTGTACTCATGAAGTGGCGAGATAAGAGTACTACTATCGTTTTACTTTTCAAGCAAACGAAACGGGAGATTGACAGCAGCATCTCCGTGATAACAAATTTAAATAATACTACGCCTACAAAACAGTGGCAACTATCAGAAATCCTCTATGAGGTAAAATATTCGGCAGTGGAATATATGTAGGCTGTTATAAACGAATTTTTATTAAAATAAAGTTAATTATCTTTACATACGAAACTTTCCTGTTTTAGGCTTATATACGTTTGTACTTACTTTATTACTTAACTTTGTGACTAAATTTACACAAGAAGAACATTAAATTAAAAAAACAAGCATGTTTATGTTATATTCGAATTACATGTTCAATGCCTTCATGTTATCCATATTACTGAAGTTACTAACTACGGTTTGTTAAACCAGAAATTGCTTAAAAATCAGATCAGTAAAGCGATTGCTATACTTTCGAAATGTCATAGTTCAACATTAACGTTCTTATTTCCTTGCTATAAAGAGGGACAAGTTGAGGAATGAGACTTAAGTAGCCTGCTCACATTCCGTTGAGTACGACACCGCTACTCACCGCTGTACACCGGCCGAATAACGTGACCGAAATGATTACTTTCCGATACTTTTATTTTTATTGCCTTGCTAGTAATGCAATGTAAATAACCGGAAAAACCGTACTTTAATTGATGCTTGCAAAGATCAAAACCATTTACTTGATTAAATATCATAATTTTATATATGTAGTTAATACTTTTTGTAAAGATAAGGTGAAAACGAGAACACAGTTTACCTGATTGTAAGTGGATACTGTGGCCCATAAACATCTACATCTATCTTCGATCAAACATAAAAATTTAGATGCGTTGTCAGCCCTGAAGTCTAAGATCGAATGCCTCGTTTTCAGTTATGGTTTCCAGTTCTCTACACTCACCGTACGAAACACAGAAATATCAAGCTGCTATTTTACGCTGGTACTCTGTGAGAGCGTGGTTATTCCTTGGTTAAGCCGACCCTCTGATAATACAACCATAATATAGCTATAGCGTGGCTCTATCAAGTTTAATTTAATTTTTCACAGACACTTTAATTAGACTTACATATTCATTCACAAAGTGTAAACATGCGGATTTCCGATCAAGTTCCCGAAATACATATTTTATTAATTTTTCAGACATGCTGCTTTCTGTATGGAAACTTACTTCTATTAAATTTATTTTATTTTTAGTTTTTTCTTCGGATAACGAAATTACTTTATTTGTGTAAGCATGTAGTAAATGAATATGCAGGTTTAAGGAAAGTGTTATTAAATCAAACGTGGTAGAGTCACGCTTCAGCTACATTATAGTTGTAGCATGAATGAGTCAGCTCAACCGGGGAAGGACCACGCTTTCACAGAATATTAGCGTAAAATAGCAGCTTAATGCTGCTGTGTTTCGTACGGTGAATGACAATTACCTGAAACAATTTATACTGGTAACAGGACATCTCATCTCAGTCCTTAGACAAGACATCGCATTTGCATATTTATTTTTAAATGAGGATAAGTAGGTGCCTTTGGTTCAGTAAATCCACTTACCTTTTGTTCTCGCTTGTCACCCTTACTTTTTAAAATCACCAATGAACGTTTAACTTAAAAGAAAAAAGTCAAATTAAAATGAGCAATATTTTATTTTTTATAAAAAAATAATTAAAAAAGAACTGATTAAATTTCACTACAACTATCACAATTTAAAAATTGTGGTCGCTAGCTAAATTCTGAGCTGAGCAACTGTAGCGTATGTCACCTCTATGAAATTAAGAAATAATTGATTAAATTTAATGTGTTTTATAATATACCTGTAATAGTAGCACTGTTAAATTAGTTTTATCATTTATTTACAACAAATTTTGCATAACAAAATCTAATATATATATATATATATATATATATATATATATATATATATATATATATGTGTGTGTGTGTGTGTGTGTGTGTATGTGTGTGTGAGTAATACATATTTACATAATCAATGAAAATTTTTCTTTAATTAAAAAAATAAACATTTGACATACAAAATATTGTTAAAATATAAGATTTTATGTCTATTTTATAATAATAATAGAAAATTCTCTTAATAGGTTTCATTGAATCAAGTGGTCTGTTGTATATCACATTGCGGTAACGTTCTTTCACTTCTTATCCCTTTATTACTTAGTGAAGTTAAATATATTTTTACGTAGTAGATGCCTCATTTCCAGTAAAAAGGTTATCCGATTATCTACATTAACAATTCTAAAAAACAACATGTAGCTACAATTTCATGGTGCCATCTGTAACAGCGTGGTCCTTCCATGGTCAAGCCGACCCATTTGTGTTACAACTATAATATAGCTGCAGCGTGGCTCTACCACGTAGAAAACATACTAGTTGCTTGACCTTACTTATGTAGTTACTTAAAAATACTTAAAAAATATATTATTAAATATTGTTCTACAAAAACACTTGAAGCGTCTGGAATTTAAAATAAGTTAAAATAAACGCAGCAAGATTTCTTAAAATACCATACCTTTATAATGATTTCTTTCATGTACGCAAACACCGCTCATTAACTTACGAGTAAGCACTACATACATATTTAATTGAACGCGATAAATTCCGTGGAAGTAGTATTATTCAATACTAGTAATTTTATTCAATCTTATTTTGTAATAAGTAACATTGCTACGTGATGTTGAAACAACTTGCATACTATTTATTGTATAACAATGTGTTATAAATTAAAATGTAAAGCTACAAGAAAAAGCTTTAATCGCACTTCTGATGTTAGAAATTATGTACTCATGTAGTATTATATACTCGATAATAATATATGATTATTATAGATAGATATTATAAAATAAAAGAATATTACTCGATAACTAACTTTATTTAATTTTTAGGTTAGTTGTTAAAAATAATAAATGTATGAGAGCGGATGTTCAACTCGCTCTTTTGCTTACGCAATTAATCATTATCAGGAATAAGACAGCGCACTACACATTCTGTATAGGGCAAATACAGTTTGATAATTAGTAAAATCAGGCGTTACTTTGCGGAAATCCGTTATATCAAACATGTTAAGAGTTATTTTGCAATCATCAGCTCAATAAAATAAAATGATGTGTTTTACCTAGTTTGAAGAGCCCTCCCTCCCTCCCTCAATTGCGTGCACTAATCCCGTCACCACTAATCTCAGCACCACTACTCCCAACACCAATACTCAAGGAAAGACACACCATCGACGATAATACGATACGTGCTTCGCCTCTACACGAGGCATCTTCAGGTGAATTATACTCTGCGGTAGCTGACCTCTAAGTGAGCGGCGAGCCAAAACAGCTGCTATTTATACAATTTGCCGACGCAACCGCTCCCAACTAAAGTAGCGAGAAACCGCGTCGTGCCTACCCTTCAATAAAAAACAACGTCGCAATATAGTCGTTCATCACCCTCGCGATGATCAGCGATTCATTGCATGGTTGGAGGCTAGGCGGACGTTTCACGGCAGTTTGTTGTTTATTATTTTACTGCAAACAGCTGCGTACGTCAGGTGGTAATTGGTCGCATTTTTCATCGCACGACGCGGTCGCGCGCTACTTTAGTGGGGAGCGGTTGCGCCGGCGAGTTGCATAAATGGCAGCTGTTTTGGCTCGCCGCTGCGCCCTTCTTTCTGCCAAGGAGGGTCGCGTTCGTATACGGCTTAGAGATCTTTAGTCAGATCGTTAAGCCAATTTCTAAAAGGTTGGGTTTAGTGGGTAAAAGTCACCACATAACCACGCAGCCGGCTGCGTGGTATACTATGAGCATTCCCAACCTCCCTCCCCCGCTTTCCGGAGGATTGCCCATATTTGCTTCGGGCGCAAAAAAAAAAAAAGCTCGCCGCTCTCTTAGCGGTCAGCCACTGCAGAATCTACATCACCTGAAGATGCCTCGGGTAGAGGCGAAACACGTGTCGTATTATAGTCGATGGTGTGTCTTTCCTAGAGTAGTGGTGTTGGGAAATAATTCTTAACATCTTTAAATACAGTTCGACCAACCGTAATACGTCCCCGCCATAATCACTTACTGATGTAACGTAAAAAAACATAATTACATACATGATAACACCAAAGTATGCAAGCCAACAGCAACACTACCCATCTCAAATGGGTGCGTTTGGCAGAAAAAAGCGCTAGCAAGCGCTTACAAGCGCTAAAATAGTTTTCGGCCAGGACACGATTGCTACTTCAGTAGCGCTGACACAATCCGCCATTTTGCTTATTTAATTTGTTTGTTTTGAAGTAGAGTTTATAAGTTGTTTTGTGCAATATTAGTTTTAAGTAATATAATGACATGAATAAACATATACATGTTATTAAAAATTCATGATTGGTAAGTTTTTAATACGAATACTTTACAAACATATGTTTAAATTAGGTTAAGTTCCGCGGTTAAAACTAATATCGTGTCCTAGAGGAAAATAGCTACTTACGATTTGACAGCACTTACCGCTTACGATCGCCATTTTGTTTACAAGCGCTTGCTAGCGCTTTTTTCTGCCAAACGCACCCAATGTAACAGGGCAACTCTATCAGCAACACGATCTTCCTGAACTGCTACAACGAACAGACCCACAACATTTATCTTACTTAGGCAGAATCTTAGTGTGGACGTAATGTTTTGCCCCAACGGGCATAATAACGACAGCGAGGCTCGTGGAATTACCGACTGATCCCTCTTAGTAACCTGAGCGATACTTTGTACTGCCAGAACGGATGGGAGATTACAGTTCTACCTTAATTTTTTCGTATTTACTTTCATGCTATCATCATATGTTTTAAGGTATTTTAAAAATGGTCCAGAATTATACTCAAGATATTTCATAATGTATGCCTCTTTCCAAATAATAAGCAATCAATATTAAAAGAAAAGATTTTTAAATATTGTGGACTTCAACAACATCTAGCAAACGTAGTACAGATACGAGTAGGACCGGTATCAGCAGAAATAGGAAATTAAACAGGTGTTTTAAATTTAATAGGTTTAAATAGGTTTTATATTAAAAGGATGGTCACATAAAATTGTTTTATATTTATTTTAGCTTTTTCATACATTTTTAGTTACTATTTAATATTATTCATTTTTAAAGAAAAAATAATAAAATAACTTTAATGTTAAGTTTTTGTACTAAATTTAATAACATGATATACAAGACCGTGTAGATATGTTTTGCGGCTCATATATATATATATATATATATATATATATATATATATATATATATATATATATATATATATATATATATATATATATATATATATATTATATAATAATATCTGACGATTGATATATATATATATATATATATATATATATATATTCAATCGTCAGATATAATTTTACTTTTATTTATTTATTTTATTTCTTATTCTTTACTTCCCACCATACAAAAATTACAGATTATATATTATACAAAAGAAGTTTGCAATGGGTAGTCTTATTGCTGATAGCAATTTCTTCC